ACCATACACCCAGTTACAGCTCCCCTCCGCATTTGAACCATCCTTGTGCATGCGCGTAGCAACATTCCTTGTGATGGTGAGTGCTGCCCAGGTGCTTTGACTCGGAAGCCGCAATTTTAAGAACCGGTTTACATACACACAGAACTCTGGACACATCTGGGTCAACACCGACATCCCAACTACACCCCCGTAAGCATAGACTCCGAACGTTGCATAGATCGACGATTCTTGGCTCTCGTCTTTGACCTTTCGGACCCTTGTCTTAGACGATGGCCAAGGAGCCTCGCTTAGAAGCTGCAGACAAGTTTCGTCAGTGAAGTCCTCGCGCGCAATTGCCGCCCGCACTCGGATTGTAAACTGTTCCCACTGATCCGAAAGCTCGCGGGGCCTTGAGCAAACAAGCTTTGTCTCCCTGGGCGTAAGACCCACATCGCTGGATGAAGTAAGTTCCAGCTCATACGCAGTATCCAGGACACCACAAGTGGCTCCCGGTTTGGATTGGCCAAACCGGGGGGCGTTTGGGGGCCGCCCCACAGGCAGCTGACGCTCATGATGCGCCCCTTGGCGGGTGCTGTTGACTGGTGCTTTAAGCAAAGCCACCTCTCCAGGCCCAACATGCTCCGACTGTTGCACTGCAATTGCTGCTATCCGGGGACCTTGGGGCTCCACGCCTCCTGGAGGCTGCAACCCTCTGCCGCGGTTTTCGTGCTCTGCAATAACATGTAGCGCCTGAGTCACTCGTATCAGGATCACTACAGGATTGTCCTCAGGTGGATATCCGTGCAGAAGGCTGGTTATTGTGAACGCCCATACCTCACCGCCGCCTCTGATCCGCACTACTTCAGACTCTACCACTCTCGCGATGACAGTAGGATCTATGTCACCATCTTGGTCGACGAAAACGACTTCATTATCCTCAGTCCAGTCTCGGTTACGGTCTAAGTACAGGGCTACCGGGAGAAATTGTTGCACTGGAACATCTTCCCCAACATTCGGGATACGGAAACGATCCCACACCCCTTCATCGACGTGCTGAGAAAAATCAACCTCACCTTCTTCATAAGTGAATTGCGCCCGCATCTGATTCCAACGATCCACCTCGAGCTCACAGCTATGCAATTGAGTCATCCATCGCACCGGCAGGGCTGACGTGTCTAGCTCAGGGGATGGTCCTACAAGCCTTTTGCACACCGGCACAGCCGCTAGGGGATCTGCGCGTGCACACTCAGCAGGGCACCACGCCGACCTGACGGCGGACTTACCATGGATCCTAAGCCTAGGCTTAGCAACGACACCGTCGCCATCCTCCACCACCTCCGCATGATCTGGGCCAGTTGGCTCCGAATCGGGTGTCAAATGTACAGTGTTTGTCACCAGCAGCTCCTGCGTCGATTCTATCAGAACCAGATATCCCTGCGTGGTAAAGGGCGCTACACCTACCAAGATGCCAGGCACTGTGCGCGGTGACCACTGCTGATCCGGCATGCGCCAAGACCTGTCACGAGCCTCTACCCTTGCACCAAACGGCAGCAACCGAAGTTGTGGACATCCTAATTGTTCAAGCGTGCTTCGCCACCGACGGGTGACCGCATGACGAACTGCAAGAGGCCAATAACGAGGAGGCAATGAAGCGGATTCTAACAATTTTCTGGCCGCACCCTTCACCCATCCTATCGCCGACTCAGCCCTGCCATTCGCTGCTGAATCTTCCCCAGCCGTCAAGTATGGCTCAACCCCTTGGGCTAAGAGCCACTGCTTGGTTCTGGCACCTCTGAGCTCCACTGCGCGGTCCGACAACATCCTGTACACAGGAATACCGGCAGATCGACATTGCGCGAACATGGCTTGGAGGCCTTGCAATGCCGCTGCCTCCGTGCGACTCACGATGGGCTGTGCGAGGATAAGGGTCTTGTGTGGCATTTTGGGATGACTCGGGGTTTCCTTCCCGACGCACTGACTCTCTGGATTATCAGCTGTTCGCGGACTTTCAAGCGGCGGTGGAAGCGGTGGCGGGTCCTCAACTGGATCTTCTAAGTTCTCACGAAGTTCCCCGGCATCATCAATCCCCAGCTCGCTGAAGCTCGGCGAAGGAGGCTCTGGGTCTAACTCCTCAGCTAGGTCACTTCCTTGGTACCCGTCCAAACGCAGATCCTTGGTCGGAAAAGGCGCCCTGAAACCTCTGCCCCTAGGAACCTCTACGACCTCCCCCGGAACCTCTAGTCCTGGGTCGAAGATGCGGTCTGCTTCCTCATCAATGCACCCCTCGATTGGATCTTGATCCTCCTCAAGGGCTGGAATAGCAATGGCTCCAACAATGAAGTACGCAGGTGCTTGCTCTAAGTCCACTCCGCGACGGAAGGGACCCGCAATGTCACAAGACAGGGTGAACATGGATTTATCCTCCTGGCGAGGATGCTTACGCTGGCGCGCTGCTCCTCTCCAACAGATCGCACAGCCCTTCCTCCATGGAAAATGGTCAAGCGCAGCATGCTCAGCATATGTTTGCACCTTTCCCAACAGGAACTGCTGCCTATCAGCCACCTCGCGCGGACTGAAAGTTTCTGGACCCTTGGCCCAATCTTCAAGTGCCGTGCGCACTGAATTCCACATGCCCGGCGGCCAAACCGGTTGAGCATTCGCCCTAAGGCGGTCCCACCCAAACCTGGTAACATTGGGGGCGAGTCCTTCGCTTAGCACTTCATGCAGCTCCTCCCATAGGAACCAAGAATTGGTCAACATGACACTAGGCCCTATGACATTCGCTCCAAAACTTCCCTTGTCAAACCGGGCTTGGTATCCGTCATTCAACTCAACCCACGAGCGCACTTCTGAGGAATCCCAGAAAGAAGGTGTCTCGAGTGTACCCAGATCCCTGGCACCGACGGCGGACTGCGTAACCGCGAAGAAGACTGGACAGCTGGCATTGAACATACGATCGGATGCGCTTGCTACTGCGTGCAGAAGGGACAGCCGAAGGAACCTGATTATTCCTTTACCATCCTGGTCTTCGAAGGCCCCGACAAACCCTCCTATCCGTCCCTGCTCCGCTAGCTCTAACAAGGACGCAAAGACACTATCCTCACAAATGTCAGTTTCGCGCTCCGTGCTACAGCTCACCACCTGCACTGGCCCCGCAACCTGAAAATCGCCTCGGGCTTTCAATCCCAACCTGACCATCACACAAGTCGCACGCTCCATGCTTCGCCGCCATCTGCGATTCCAACGACTGGCATGTGTGCTACAGATTCCACTTGCGGACACCAGATCGTCATCCGCAACCTTGGAAAACACGCTCCTCAACCACGCAAGCCTCGCCTCGGGACCTAGCTTACCTCTGGTGAGCGTGTCCTTTAACCAACCTTGAGGATCTTGGATCGATGCGCCGAGTGCCTTCGCAAGTACTGAAGCCTCCGCTTCAATCTTGGCACGCTTGCATTGGAGATCTTCGTAATCTTTCAGCAACTGGTACGCATCCTGCTCGGCCACTGTTGGGGACCCGTTCTCGACTGTCACCTCGGGCGACGGTCGAGACGGGTGGATCACCTTGCACCGTTTCCGCTTCCAAGATACACGGTATCCAAGCTCAGTCAAATAATGCATTGGGACGATTGGTTGAATGGGCTCGGCAACAAGGAGGATTCCATGTTGCGTGATCGCCATCTGTCTCGAACCCACCGCCAGCGAAACATCAATGGTCCTTGATGCTGCTATCTCTGAGGGCGTGCCTTGCCTAAGGCCGTTCGTAGCTCCGCTATCTATCAGACCCCTGCAACCACCCGTAGTTGGTGATTCTGCTAGTGCCCTCTTGAAGGCAGCACAGACTGACAATCGCTTCAAGTGCAATGACTTCAGAAGTTGAGTAGCCTCCGAAATCAGCTGTTGTTGGGAAGGCTGCACAGTGTTCTGCGGAGAGGCTGTCTCGATCACAGTCTTTGCCTGAGATGAGGCATTGCTAGCATCTGCTGCACGTACCGCGGTTTCACCGCCCTTTCCACCCTTCTGCCCCTTAGGCCTTCCGCCTTGCTTGCCTCCGGGAGTAGGGTTCTGTCCCTCAGGTGGCGGCGGCGCCACGGTGCACTCACCCCTAAAATGACCCCGCTGTCCACACCCTAGGCACCTGTTCTGCTTTCTTGCCAAGGTTTTGTTGTGGAAGTTCGG